TCTCTTGTTTCGTTATATACATAACCATTCATTCTTCCCATTGATTCGCACTTCACTGCACTGCACTGCACTGCACTGCACTTAAAGCACTGCCTTGGCTCAAAGTGTCCGTGGCGCTCGGGCCCATTGGGAGGCGTGGCAGGTGGGGCGTTCTCCGCGCGTCCCTCGGCCGATCGCGAGTCTTCCCCCTCGCGTTCGGCTGCCTCCGCTCGCTCGCTCAAGGCAGCAAGCGTGGCGTGGGGCAGCGCGCTGAAGGAGAAGGCGACGCGCTTCGGACCTTTCCAGAGGTGGGACCGATGCGCGTCGCTGTTCGCCTCGCGGCCGGTGTCGCGCAGGATGCGCGGCGCCTTCGGACACAGCGCCTTCACAAGCGCTGTTGTAGAGCGCCTTTGGAGCTCCGGCAAGAATTGGGGCCCAGAAAGAATTGGACAAGACCAGGGGCCCGAAAGCAGTGGGTACGCCCCGTTCTCCGCCGCCGCCGCGTGAAGGTCGAGCGTTAGAGCTCGAAGGACGCAGCTGCGGGCGGTAACGACGCGAAAGCGCTGCTAATTAGGTCAAAGTGACGGCGACCACGGAGAACTTGTTAACCTGGAAATTGTGAGGAAAATAAGCATAGAGCACGCATCTGAGTATCATTAAGTGATTCTTGCCATTTAAAAGCACTATTGCCCACGAAACTATAAATAGATCAATATTAGTTTGTTGTTCGCTGCCGCAACGTAACTGTTGTAGAGAGTTTGGTGCATTTGCTCACGTTTTGTAGTAAAGTTATTTGAATGGAGCGTTAAATTGTATATTATTCCATTGGTTAATTTAAATAGGAATTGTAACAAATTTAATTGATAAGAGTAACAAAGTGAATTCCCAGCGATCATTTGTGTTCCACTGAGAAGGGCGCGCCGACGCCGCCTGTTGCAGCGGAGGAGCTGGTGCCGTTCCTACATCGCGCCGCCTACAGCCTGGAGCGCGCCAAGGCGGGGGTGGACGCCTTCTGGACGCTGCGCACCCAGGCGCCCGAAGTGTTCGCTGACCGCGACCCGGCGCTGCCCGCCAATCGCCAGGCGCTGGACTTCTTGTGAGTCTCGCACCACAGCGCTCCATCGCGCTTCGCGACGTACGTCAAACAACGCTCGCTACCTAGCGGAGAACGGACGTCAAACGCTGCCCAGCGCTCTCTCAGCGTTAACTCTTGACGCACAGTGTAACTTCAATAGGCAATGTTTAGTTGTTGGCGAGTGGGCTCCGTTGCGACGACGGTTAGCTAAACACGAACCGAAGAGCAATCGAAATACGATTAGAATTGGTACGAAGTCAAAGAAGCGACTCGTGAGACTCTTACAAATATATTCGAGCCGCGCGTAGAAGGAAATGACATTTCTGTGATACATTCCAATCGGAAAGCAATGTGAAGAAAAAAATCATCGTCTTCTTGCAATTGACTGGAGATTGAAATGTGAAATCCAGCTTATGAATATTATGTTCACTAATCATGGGATGAACCCACCACCTCCATTTTTTTCAATTTTAGCAGTTTAGCACTACATAATCTACAGTTTCTGTTTGCATTTCTCCGTGCTCGTCCACAACTCTTTGCAAGCGACGCACGTTGAGTCGCACAGTGTGCCCAGTGAACAGCGCAGGCTCTGGCAAGGAAAAACCTCCATGTGGCACAGGTCCCACTTTCACGGGTGAACTCTCAAATTTCAAAAGTATGATTTATTTCGGTGTCTTCCTACAACTACAAAATCAAACATGGAGATTTTTATTTCAAATAAAATTCATTCACCATGGTGAGCTCTTTCATTGAGGTCATCTATGTTTTTTTAATTTTAGTAGTTTTCGCGCAATATTGAACTTTGGGACTGCGATAGATGGCAGCAGGGAAGAGTATGTAGCAAGTCTGAATAGCAAGGCGAGAGCAAAGAACATGTAAAACTAATACGGGCTAGCCTGTGCCATTCTGTAGCGCCACTAGTTGATTTTATTAGACTCTGACCAGCGAAGCCTCGGAATGTATAAAAAATATGTTAAGTAGAGGGAAATAGCTGGAAAATTGCGTAATTAAGGCGTGAGAGATCTTTAAAAAAAATTACATTTGGGAAATTTTTTAAAAAAAGACAAATTAATTCTGACATATTAATCAGTGCAATTAGCACTATGTGTTGGAAAGTTGGAAAATTAGGAGACTTTTTGAGTAATTGGCGTTTAAATGTTTCTGAAAATGCGGAATTTTGAGCTAATTTTTACGGAAAATACTGTCAAAATGTTCTTTTCGGGAAACTATCTGAAATTATTTAAAAATCATGAACTCATAAATAGATTAATGGAAATGAATTGCCGCAAATGGATATATTAACGACGTGAGGGGTAAGTCAATAATTACATTTCTGTAATTTTTGAACAGAAACAAAATAATAGAGAAATATGGCGTTTAGTCGTCTTATAGAGTGAATTTAGTATGATCACTGCCTAAAGTTTAAAGAAAAAAAATTGAATCAATTTTTGAGAAAATCTTGTTTTTGTAATTTTTGTAAAATGTCAAATATTGCAATATCCTACGCATTGCACCAATTGCAAAATCCTACGCATGATTTAGGCGCTAGTAGTGTTTACAGATGGACAGACGGACGTTTTGAAAAACACATTTTTGCTATCAGGGGACCCCAAAACGTGTATTTCCGTGGAAATCTGGAAATGGATTTTCTGCTGCATTACATATCTTTCCCTATACTACGTACACTACACCGTATATAAATACGTTTACGGGAAAGTAAAGATCCTCCCCGCCCCACCCACTCCTTCCCAAAAGCAACCGGCCGCGCCCATCCCACCCGCCTCGATGTGTTGCTGGTTGCATCGTTTCCCCTGACAGTATATTTCGTGTTTCTGGGCGCTTCACGAACTATGACCATTAGCCCCGTAAGTGTACGGCATATTTTATCACGGATGGTGACTGTCTCCCGGCAAGGTACAGTGCATGTCAGGGATGAAAAAAGGACAAGGAAATATCGCGTGCATCCGTGCCCAGAGGTGGATTTATGCATAGGCACTGTAGGCACGTGCCTACGGCGGCAAATTTTCAAAGGCGCAAATTTTTCTTGATATTTTCTAAAACAAATGTTTAAAAATGATTTGACTTCTGATTGATTGATTGATTGATTGAGCAGAAAATAATTATATTCTTAGAGTAAAAAGTTTGAATTAGCCAATCAGAAATCGCTGGCGGATTTCGCAATACATTCATATTG